GAATAGAATAGGAATCTAAAACCAAGAGAACTCTCTGTCAATCTGTCCCAGAGAGCTTGGTCCTGTGATTGGCCCTTAATTGTAAACATGGAACATGAGCCAATCACAGATGCACCTATTGCATTCCACAGCAGCAGATAATTATTGTTTACATTCTCTTTCTGGGACCTCAGCTTCCCAGAAGAAGAAAAATCTCAAAGAGAGGATTTTTATGAAAAGATGTGACACCAGGCAGTAGCACAGCATCCACTCCTTCATTAAACTCTGTGGTCTGCTTCTTGCATGAACAGAATTAGATGCTTTGATCCAATGATCTGCAAAGATGCCTGTAAGAGGGAAGTGGGTAGATAGCCAACTGACTTGAATGTTTGGTAGACTTGATGTACATGGCAGAGAAAAAACAACATAGAAAGGTTTCTTTTGGGAATAAGGGTTTCAGGAAGAAGTTTTGCCCCTCAAGCAATGACTGCAGTCTGTCATTTGGCTGTGAAATACCTGGGATCTGTCCCCTGCTGTCAAACAAGAAAAACAGGATGTTTTTGTCTTCAGGTCTGTTATATAGCTTGCTTATAATGGGCTGGCCAACAGGAAGAGAAGTACTTCTTTGAGTATAGCAATTAAAACACATAGCTGGAATAATTAAGCTTAATGAGAGAGGACTAACATGAAAGAAAGGGCCAAGAGGTCACAGTGAGTGGACATGTGAGCTGTGCTTGATCAAATTGCAGTGGCATAATGACACTCCTTATCTTCATCCAGGGGTTCTGAAAGGGCTGTGTGTCAGGCATGTGAGGTGCTCAACCACTCATCTCTTGCTGCAGTCAACCTAACTGCAACTACAGCTAGCCATCTGCTTTCTCTTCTTTCCTTGACCTGAATGAAGACTTTAATTCCCCTCTGGAATGATTTCAGTAAGAGTATTGGTAATAATTTCAATGTTGAATTTCTTAACTGCTTATACATTATAACTAGCTGGATCTACCAAGCTAAAAATTACATATTTTTTTTACCAATGACAACTGGCATAGCAGCTCCTCTGTGTTGTGCTCTATTGACATGCAGCTTTCAGCCACCAAAGGAATTGGCTTGAGGAGCATACTGTTGAAATCCTTGCTGGATTAACTCTGTTGTGCTAGTCCCTGGCCCTTGGTGAAGGGTGGGAGAGTCTGACCTGGTGAAGGTGCAAGATGCTTTTTCCCATATGAAGGAACAGATGCTTTTGTTCCTTTCCCGCTACCACTATAGTTTAGAGCTTTTATTTACACTCATATCACAGAGGGCTTGGCTTTGGCCATTGGTTAAGTCCCCTTTGGAGCTGGCTGTCACTGGGTCTATCTGATGAGGTGGCAGCTTCTAGTCCTCACCAAAAGCCACCCCTGAAGCCTCCCCAGTAACAAAACCTTGGTAAGAATGAACTAGGTGAGTTTGAGAAACTTGGAAACACCTCAGGAGATAGTGGAGAGGAACATCCACCTGAAATGCAGTTTTTCCTCCTACGGTCCAGGTTGATAGACAGAAAAGGTGAGGGAGGCATGAGAGCTGCACAAAGTTCTATTTCTACCTGCAGCTGACAAACACAAGCTTGTGCCATACAGATTACCACAAGGTGGCCACTGCTGTCTGTGGGTTTTATACAGTGTGTGTAAACAGGCAGGCTCTGTGAATGCCTTGTGTTTGTACCTCTCTGACAGTGCTGAGGTGATGGCTGTACCTTGAGGCAATGGGCTAGAAGGGAATGCATGGGGGAAGGTGGGCTCCTACTATCGTGATTGCACCATCTGCCTGGCTTACAGGAATTGAAGTGCATTTGTCATGGATGTAACAGGGGTATACACAGACTCTAGGGAGTGGTGAAGCTAAGCATTAGAAGGTATAGGAGGAAGAGTTTTAGACTGGGCTTGGGTCATCTCCCCGCTACTTAAATAAGGCCATGACATTTGCTCAGGGAGACAATGAAGTCTGGTATTTCAGCTTTCTTTGTTTCTAGCTCCTCTGAGTGAGACACTTGGGGGAGAGCAAGGACACATACCATGAATAGTACTGTATCTGTTAATCCTGCTGATAAGGAAAACACAATGGGCAGTTGTAGCACTACTCTGCAGGGCTGCTCCAAAGGAGGCTGAGCCCACACTAAGCTAGTGACAATGGGTTGAGGATAGGGACAGGAGGCATCTCCCTACACTGTAGGTAGTGGCCAGCAGCAAGCTGACCTGTCTGGAGCAGATGGCGGAGGTGAACAATTCAAGTAAGGGGTCATAGGAGCAAGATAAAAGCAAAGGATCGGAGGTATGGCTTGCTTGCTCCAGTACAGGCTGAGGTGGTGGCAGATTTAAGGTTGGATTTGATGTAGCTGGGGAACAGATCTCACCTCATAGAAATGGATGCTGTGGCTGGGCCATGGTGTGTCATGACCCTTCCTGTGGGCACTGACCCTGGGAGGACTATGAGAGAAACTCATCAGGCAGCAATGGATTCCAGGGATAGCTCCCTGGTTTCAACAGCCCACGGCCCTTTGCAACAATTCCCAGTGCTTCCCACCTTTGGTGTGGCAGGCCATGGTGAACTCCTCAAGGAGGTACCCACTATGTCCTGAGCTCAAACAAGTTATTGCCACCAGCCCCAGTTTGATGTTGCTTAGGAACAGGACAAAAAAGTTATATATTTATTAGCCTGGTACGACTCTAGAGACTGCTCAATTTAGCACAGGCAAGCATAAGGAGTTAAGGACTGGAGAAAAGCAGCAGAAAAAGACCAGAGTATCAAATAGCCGCAGCTGCAAAGTGATGGAAAAATGACCACTGCACCTCGGGCAGAGCTGACACCCTTTTCCACCTTTGCAGACACACACAGTGGAGAACTGTTGAACTGACCTAGGCCCAGGCAAGACCTTGGTACACCTTCTGACAGCCAGTGGCACCACTAGAGCTCACCCCTTCCCAGCAAGCCTTTAAGATCAGCTGCAGAGTGATAATGTTAGAAGAGGGGGTGCCTGGCAGAGTGCTGCTCACAGGCCCTGTGCAGCTGTCAGAGGACAGGTTGGACTGCCTGCAAGGTACAACCCATGCTGTGCCCCTAAAAACACACAGAACCATGTACTGGCAGAAAAGCCAATCCCAACAACACATTGCTGTGTCTTTGTTCTAGGCTGGATCTTGGCACCTTGTTAACTTCATTACCATGGCTGTACTCATAGGATTAGCTTGCTTCACTAGCAGGGTGAAACAGAGAGACCTTCATCCTGACTTGTGCCAGTGCTACAAGGAAAAAACCCAAAATTTGTAATATTTCCGTTTTACTTTCAACATGTAGAAAAATCCAGGTATTATTCCACAAACCTAGAACTTTGAGGACAATAAGACTTACAGTAAGAAACTACTGCAAGACCTCCAAACAGTGCCAGACAATGAGGGATAATTGTCATTATTCATCTGGTGGCAGTGTTACAGACGCATAACAGAAAACTTGGAATTTCAGGATACAGCTATATTCCCCAGAAAATTTCAGAGGCTCAGTGGTGTTGATTTTACACAGAAAAATTATATTTTTATGGTTAAACAGCCTTGCAAAATCAACTGCTATTTATGAAGCAAAAAATCTGCACACAGCAAGGGGAATGTACAGATCAATATTTTAGGAGGAAGCAGGCTGAGCCAGGATTATTTTAACTGACAAATCTTTCTACAACTCTGACCACGGGACAGGAACTCCATGTGGCTGTTCTTAGTTCGTTTCCTAATCATCACTTTACTTGAAACAAGAGATCATTAATTCATTGGATTTAATTCACTATTTTAGGAATTGCAAGCCCTCTGGCACAAGCTTGTGTTCATCAGCTGCAGGTAGAAATAGAACTTCATGCAGCTCCCATGCCTCCCTCACCTTGTCTGTCTATCAACCTGGACTGTACGAGGAAAAACTGCATTTCAGGCGGATGTCCATCTCCATTATCTCCTGATAATGGAGTTCCAAGTTTCTCAAACTCACCTAGTTCATTCTTACCAAGGTTTTGCTCTTGGAGAGCAAGAGGAAGAGTTTATTTTATCTTAAATGTAAACAGTTGCAGGCTTCATAATTTGTTGGCTAAATAGCTCTTCATTTATACATATAGTTATTTCTAGAGTCATGGTTTAACTGCTTAACACCTTATGCAAAATTCCTCAACAAAGAGCCACCACACAACAGCACACCTCTAGTCCATGCATCTGAAGCCTACTGACAAGAAGTTCCCTTTTTTGGTTTATCACTTTATGTGATGTGCAATGGTATTAGTCCACAGATCTTCCTCAGTGGTCAGTGTAAAACCACAGCACTGGAACTTACTCAAACTGTCAATTCATTCTCCTCAGAAAACACAATGAAGCTACCAGAACCTCTTACCCACTTGTGCCAAGGTTCATTATTTCCCCAGTGGCCAGATGATCTGCATTTCAGGGTGTGTTTTGTTAAGTCCACTCAGCAAGTATTGTCAATCTACATCTTAAGTAAGTGATCTCTTTGTGTTGACATACAGAGCATCTAATCCTGGCACTGCAAAGATAATATGACTGCTTGGGATCTCTCTTCACGGATCAGTAATGAAACCTTCAAACTAATGAAGAAGTCCTCCACAGTGACTGAAAATGGATCACCATCACCTTCAGTGCCTCTATGAATCCCATAGTAACAGGTCCTTGTTCATTTTCAGAACATCTAAGATATCTATAGTTGCTAATCTCTGTTATCTCCTTCATTTGCCACATTGTGTGTGCTGAAAACCAATTTAACACAGTAGGGCCATCATATTCATCTCACCTTCCAGGAGAGCCAGAGTAAACACTATGGCAAAGTCAGCTCCAAGCTTGGACACCAATGACAAGTTTCCCAAGAAAATTAGCAATCTATCCATATCACCTGCATTGAGATCTGCTGGGATAAACAAGTCCTTGTAATATTTTAGCTCTTCTGTGTTAACCACAAAGAAGTGATAGTATTGCACAAATAGAACTATAAGATAAGCCAAGTATACATTAGGATATTTATTTTTCCTTTCCATATTCTCAGAATAACTGAGATAGCTACACTGTTTAATGAAAAATATTATTAAAAAGCCAGCTAGAGGTGAAGCTGGAATCCCCAACTGTTGCTAGCTTAGTTTGCTCTCCGCTCCTTCATATGGGTTAAAAAAAAATCCCCCTTGCAAAGTTCTGGGCCAAATCAATGGGTAAGAATTAAATGTGCCATCAGTTAGCAAAGCTTTTCAAATTGATTTTCCTTTCTACAAGCCTGCTCATAGAAAAGTTCAAGCTATTATCAAATCTGTTACAGGTCTGATTTTCAACAATTTTAAGGCACTTTGTTTTGTGCAGCTCTGGGAAGCAAGTGTCAATTTCTTCACAAGCAAAGCAACTGGAATATACTTAGACTTATTAGTCAAATTATTAACAGAAGTCACCATCAACAAACTTCTAGCAAAATGATTGAATCATACTGATCACATGATTTGACAAGTGAATTAAAAGCATTTAGAATGTGACAGAATCACATTCTGCTGCACCAGTCTCCCAGGAATATCTGATCTTCACACTTTTACAACAGCTTTTCCAAGATTTTCTCCTTTTAACATTCCTATAAAAGCCATTGGCATGTTCTCAAATCCTTCAGTGACTTGTTCATGGTACTTCACCTTCCCCTGTCAAAAGTAAGAAAGAAAATTGCTGAATTTTCATCCACCAAAACAGAATAAACTGCAGCAATATTTTTCTCCAGCATATATATTTTATTTGAAACATGCAAGCTGGCATGCACAGGATAACTGCAAAACCACGTGGACTCTTGTGAAGATCTCCTTTTGTTGTAAAACCTTTTACCTGGAGTCATAACAGGAAGTAAAAGTCACTGCTGTAAAAACGTACCAGGACAGATTTATTGCTACACAACTGACAGGTAGGGGATCGTTTACCCAAAACCAGGCCTGTCTCTACCCATACAGAAGTATGGAATTGCAAATCCAATGATCAAAACCTGATCCATCCCAAAACCTCATGTTTGTAAAAGCTAGAGCCTCTTAGCCTTTACTGGTCTCATTCACAAACTTCTCACAGCCATGAACTCGGTTAGTAACTCAGCCTCCACTTAGAAAAATAAAATACAAGAAATTCCCTTTTAAATCCCTTTAAAGCCCAGCTCCTAATACTATAAATTCATTCTTGCCAGTAACTTCAGCACAATACTACAATGGAAACCCTGGCCCATACTACAAATGACTGAATGAGAGATACAGCAATTTACTCTAACTGTGAAAATCTTCATTATCAGGTAAGTATTTTTGCATTATTCTGGAAGCATGCTTCTTCAAAGCCTACATGTATTCTGGATTATATCTGAGTCTACAAGCTGATATCACACATTACAACAAAACAGAAGGGACCAGGCATATCTACTATAGTTTAAGTGTCCCCAAGAGTCTCAAGGATCAAGGCAGGGAGAAGGAAAGCATTATGCTGTGACCTCACCTAAACAGCTATGTCAAGAGACCTCTTGCAGAGATGGACCCTGCAGTGTGAGTATACCTTACAAACAGCTGCCCCTTCCTTCCTTACCTCCATGACCCACTTCAGCAGGGCCTGCAGACCTTCCTCCCGGCGGTTGTTCCATCGTGTCACAAGAAACCCTTCCATTTGAAGCTCTTTGAAAATCATGGGAATCTGCACATAAGGCCCTGCAAGAGAAAAGAACCAGCAAGCCACCTGCAATATCAGTTTCATTCAGAATAAGTACCGATGCATAAAGTGAGCTTTTAGCCATTAAAGACCATTGAATCACTTCCTTTCAGCCAGAAGCAACAGATAGATTTTCCAAAGAGAATTTCCAGCACAAAAGACTGAAGATTCATGGACAGCCACCTAGGGAGACAAAGGCCTGATCCCTAAAGCTGTGGAGCTAAACAATTCTGAAAACAGAATTTATTTCATTCAGAAATAAAGTAGCCTCAGCTTCACCTGAGAACCTTAAGCTGAATCTCAAAAATACTGTTTTAACAGCTTGTTTGATAGCCTGACAGGCTCTCATGCTCTCTCTAACTCTCAGGATCTGAGTTATAAACTCTAGAAAAACAGTTTCCTCAGTCACAAAAATGTCTGATAGCCTCCTCATTACCAAAAGCCTGTTCCATTTTTTTAAAGTGATCTGACAGTCCAAAGCCAGTCAGCCACCAAAGAGAATACAGTCCTTCAATTCATTTTAGAAGGCAAATCTGGAAATTTAATGATGTTGAAAACGAATATTCATTCAGCCACATTTCTCAGCAGTTTTATTAGTAGCTGAAATCTTACTGGAAAAAGAAAACCAACCCAGAAAGCTTAAGCTGCATCAGCTAAAAACATGAAGGAAAATCACTATCTCATCTTTAAGTACATACTACTGTATAAATGGCATCATGACACCACACCTGCTGATCTATATCTGCATAGGGCCATGTGGAGTCCTGTTTTAAGTATCTTAGCCACTCCTTAATTCCTAATCAGCTGATGTTCATCAGACAGTGTGTGCAAAGGTGGATGAGAGCATGTACACACAAGGAACACGGTCCCAGTGTCCCACATGCCCCACAGCAGTAGCTAGTTACCCAAATGTATACATACATACACTCAAATGGCCCAGGGAAGTAAACAGCAGACTATCATTATGTATTTCTGCCATCACCAAAGACAAAATCACTTTAGATACAATAAAGACCCTCACCATTCTGAGGCACGGAGTCATTGTACTGAGAGATTGCGCCACAGACTGCAATCCTTCCATATTTCCTCATTTGGTTGATAGCAACACTGGCGAATTCTCCACCCACCTACAAGAACCAGAGCATGTGCAGCATTAGAGACAATCCAGTGTTCAGCATTGGCTGCCAAAATCTGCCACATTGCACTGCTGCACCAAGAGGTTCAATCGGGAGAAGCAACTTCCACTACCCCAAAGACTTGGTGGCTGCAGAAACCCTTGGATTTACACAGACCTATGAGGACTCAATCTCACTCTTCTAAAAATTAGTTGTGAATGTATGGAATTAGTTTTAATTCCAAATCTGCTTCATGAAGCTTGGTTTGGAAGCATCAGGCAGGACTAGCACATACATCCCTCCTCCTAAGAGTGCTAAGAAGCACCAACTCTGCTTTTCCCGCACACCAGTATGCAATTTTACATCTTTATATCATGGTGATGCAAACTTTTTACTTTATGGTTCTCATCTCCAAAATAGGGATGTGCTGTGAAAAGAAACTTTTAATAGTGAAAAGCTGTGAGAAAACATACTGCTGTGTGGAGCTCTGCACAAAAGTTAGAAGTAAGAATGAAGGGAATGGACAAGACCATAAAACCTATTTAAGACCTTAGCTCCTGCCACAGAGACAAGCACTTTGCCCTGACACCAAACACTCCTTTCAATTGCCAGAGAAAGGCAAAACACCAGGGCCCTCATCCCAGGATTGGCAGAAGCACTTCTGAAAGACATGCTAAAGATGGTTTCTTTGAAACCGGGCAGTTAGCCAAGGGGTTTAAGCCTGTATACCAGCTAATACCCCCGTGGCCAGATATATTTTTTATCAGGTATGAGACATGTTAACTGTAGTAGAAAATCAAAAGAGACAGGTGTAGCTCTTTATCTTGAAAGTGAACTGACACAATTTAACTGCATCCATACTGTTAAATTTTCTTAGCCTTCAAAACAAGATGTTAACATTCAACACCTATCAAGAACAGTACATTGTCCCCATTGATTCCAGCTATATTTGGAAGATGTCAGAAACTTTCTGAGGGCTGCTCCAGTAGATTTGCAAGTGGGCCTTGCTACTGTTTTGTTTCAGGTACCAAGGCAGCCCCCATGACCACGTAATGTGGAACCATCCACACTCACACCCCTTTCAGCAACAGCAGAGAACTGCCTGTGGTCAAAGGTGGGGCCAGTAATGGACTGAATCAGTTTCATGTTACTGTGACTGTCACTTCCCAAAATGTGCCAGACTTTTCAGGGAGTGAAGTAAAACCTCTCTCTCCGTTTACAAACACTGTCAACAATCCAGCTTTGCCTTTTTGGTTCTGTTCTTTCTGTTACTGCTCAAGTCAGCTGCAGAAATATGTGTGGGAAGGAAACAGAAAAGCAGTAAGTTCCTACAGACACCATTGCTTGATTAAATGGATCTCCACATTGAAATCTTGGTGTAGACTTCAATTAGACAATTACAATATTGAGTTCCTGCTACAGTTTAAAGAAAATGACAGATGCTCAAGGAAAGGCCTTCTCTCTGAACTTACATTGTCAAAGAAACAGTCATAGCCATCAGGAGAGGCTTTACGCAGTGCTTCATCCAGAGATTTAACAGTCTTGTAATTAAAGGCTTCATCAAAGCCTATTTTTTTCAGATAGGCAACCTTGTCATCTGAGCCAGCACAGCCAACCACTTTGCAGCCCTGCAAGGAAAGGAGAAAAACATTTATAAACATCCCCTGACAACAGAGGCTGACACTCAGTGTGCTAGTTGAAGGGTGCACTCTTTAAGTAAGGCTGTTATCAGTATGTGAGCTCCTGAAGCATCCAGCTAAATTTGCTATGTACTCAGGAGCTTTTCCATCTCAAGACTCTTGTGTAGGCATGCCTTCAGGGATGCTTGTGCTATGATCATTCATGGCCCTGTTGCCCTGTTTAACAACTATGTCTTCTCAGCAGCAAGTATGAGCAGCTCAAGCCACTCACCCCAATTTTAGCAAGCTGCCCCACCACAGAGCCCACAGCACCAGCTGCAGCATTAACCAGGACTGTCTCTCCTGGCTTCATCTTGCAGACCTCCAGCAGACCAAAATATGCAGTGAGGCTGCAAAGAAAATGAAAGAATGTTCAGTGAGGAATAAAAGATGACAGACACACACATGACTTGCCCACACGGATCAGAAATATAGTCACTACCAGCACAAGATTAAGTTTTCCTATATTGTGAAATCCAAAACTTAATCCAACCTTCTTAATTTGGCTTTTTCACAGCCATCCCAGAAAGAGGATTGCTGGGAAAGAGATTGTTGAGGCAGAAATCTCTCTAAGGTGAAAACAGCTTTCGTTGTGCTCATTAGTCTGAAGGAAAAGCACAGATAACTCTGTGACAACTCAGTTACATACTGGAAGAGATAGGAAATCCAACGTAGACAGAGGTCAGTTGCCAATTGGTATCTACTAGATTAAATTATACTCATCACAAATCAAAGCTGGCAGAAAAAGATAAAAAGCTTACTGATGGGCTCACTGCTCCAGAGGACTACTGTGCTATGGCTGCTGGGTGAAACACAGAATCATGAAGGTTGGAAAAGACCTCCAAGATCACTGAGTCCGACCTTTCACCAATTATCACCTTGTCAACTAAACCTTAGCTCTAAGCGACACATCCAGTTGTTTCTGGAGTACCTTCAGGGACAGTGAATCCATCACTTCCCTGGACAGTCTGTTTCAATGCTTGACAATCTCTTCTGTGAAGAAATTCTTCCTGATGTCCAACCTGAACATCCCTTAATGCAGCTAAAGGCCATTTCCTGTTGTCCTGTCGCTTGTTACCTGCAAGAAGAGAGTCACCCCCATTTGGCTACAACCTCATTCAGGTAGTTGTAGAGAAGAGTAAGGTCTCCTTGAGCCTGCCAATAAGTGGCATGCTCAACAAGTCCCATGATCCTTTAGCTGCTTCTCATGAGACTTGTGCTCCAGGTCCCTTCATCAGTTCTGTCACCCTTCTCTGGATATGCTCCAGCAACTCAAAGTCTTTCTTGTAGTGTCTTTCTGGAAACTGTACTTCAGGTCTCACCAGTGCATTAGTAATCTGTAGGAACTACTAAAGTAGCTCATCTACTGGTCCAGAATCCCAAAAAAGTCTTCTAAATTCAAGCTCAGAGCTTCCCACATGGTCTCAACTGAAAGAGCTAACTGAATTCCTCTATAAGACATCTAGAAAAAACATGCATCTTGACTGATCTTAAAATGAAATCTGAGAAGTTCTCCACCACACACAATTTTACAATAATTTTGAAAGCCTTCCAGATCATTAGGACTGCCAAAGTCCCATAAAAATTACAGAGAATGAAGTAAGAAATGCAAGCAGATGACTGACAGATTCAAATAGTATATACAGATTCCAAAGCACAGCACTTTTGTCTGCTGCAGAGCAATTTAAAGAACATCTATTTTGCTGCATGATACAGCATCTGTCTTTTGCATTTTGGGGTTGATTCTGGAAATACAGTGAGAGCAACAGAGCCCAATCAGTAAAAGCAGACTAGTCCAGGTGCCAGTGAAGTTTGAGACTTTCCACTGAGTTTAACACAGACTGAACTAGATTCTTTCCAGCTCTTCCTGGATCCTCTTTCTGACCTATTACAGCTCCTCAAGGAGAGGCACAATAATCTCCAAGGCAAATCTCCTCTGATGTTGAGGATGGGATAAACTTCATGCCTTATACAGGCCCAGAGTATCCAGAAGCACGCCTTTTTTAGCAGCGTGAATAGGCAGTATGCTGGTAGAACAAGACAAAGGTCAATACAAACAGGAAGAAACCTCCTGCGCACCAAAATCCAGGGGATAGTTGCCTTTTCATCTCCAAACTTACCCTGGCATGCCAACTGTTCCAAGAGCTAGAGATTTGGGGAGCGATTCCGGCCAATTGGAAGGAAGAAGTTGTAGGTCTTTCCCATCAGAGATAAAATGAGTTCTCCAGCCCCTGCGAGCCACGACAAAGGCCCCCACTGTGAAAGCAGGATTTTTGCTTTCTACTACCCTGTTTAAAAAGTAAAATAAAATAAAATTAAAAAAAAAAAAACACAAAAAACCAAAACCAAAACCACATCTTGTTAGAAACAAATCAATACTGGCTCTTCCTTTCTTCCTGTGATTCAGAAAAGAAATACTTCAAATAATGATTTTTAATCCACACCTGCTGATGCTGTAGGTGTTAAGTGTTTTTCCTGAAATGTCTACAAGCTCTTATCATGAGGGAAATACTGGCAAGATGATTTTAGATTCAGCCCTGCCCACAATAAACCAAATTTTCACACACAAGTGCCAACTGTTTCTTTGACTAGCACCAGTTTAGTTTGAGATCAGACCAGGCTTCTGTGAGTTAGAATGCAGGAAAGAGGATGTTGGGATTAAAGTGGAACAGCAAGGAGTTGCTGATAGGCTGTCTGTTCTCAGACAACCTGCACCTCATTTAAAAAGATCCTGAAGATGGAACATCTTGGGGTAATGAAACCAGATAAAAAGCATATCTAAAATCAGGGAGATATCCATATTAGCATCTCTGTGCCAAATGAAAATTCCACTTTCTTAGCTCAACAAGAAAACTGTGTTGGAAAGGGGTAGATAAGCATCTTAGAATCATTAGAAGCAGTTGACCTTCTGTTCATCAGACTTGGTTGTTAATTTATCCCAGCCCTCAATGTTTCTGCAGAGAAATGCAAGAGTCAAAGGCCACAGATGTTCCTTGGCAGCAGCTTACAGGCAGCACAGCAGGAACAAACTGACAGAGGGAAACATCTGCAGCTACAATACCATAAGCTTGGGAAAAGTATGGATTTAAGGCTAAATAACCCTTTGGCTCAAGCTGTGATGCAGAGATATTTTCAGCTGGAGTAGATAGCATGTATGGTTGCAGGCATGCAGCTACTAACACATCACGTTTTAAAATGTGAAGGTCAAAATGTGCCATGTACAATGATTGGTCCTTTATACTTGTAAAAATTGCCTTTGAAGACATTATCACCAGAAACAACATACAGATTTTATCACAGGTATATATGCTCTCCAGAAAAACAAAAGAGATTCTTAGAGGAAAAACACATTCCAACCACTTAGTGGTAAGAACGTCAGTAGCAGAAGTATACCCAAATCAAGGAGGGGTAACATAGGCTGCAGATGTCTGGAGTGTCAGCACACTCCTGTTCTGATCTGCCATGCACATTGATAACAGGAACTGAAGGTCTTACCTGGCAACCTGCGTGCCTATCATTATGTCACCCTCCTTCAAGTCCCTTCGACTGTAAGGTCTGTAACACAGGCAAACAGAGCTTACTGTGTGAAACTTTAGTAACGTTCCAGGCACACGAGGAAGTAGCAGCAACTGTTTGACCCAGAGAGTTATCTGTTGTTAACAGGTATCAATTAGCTTGTCATTGTAACAGCATGACCAATGCTTCTCAGAGCACCCTGGGCAGGAATGCTGGCGGGATGACAGCAATAAACTTCACAGCATGGTCCATCTGTACAAGAAGCATGAGACTCAGAGAACTATCTCTGAATTTAGTGTCCATAATGCCTCTTCAAACTACCCAGTCTCCCTGTGCTTCAACTACCCCCTATTGGGTATATCAGCAATGTCCAACTTAAAATGTGCATCCTTAAGTACAAGTTTGCTAAGTTAAATTAAGCAGGAACTGCTACAAGGCTGCAGTCTCATTTGAGTACATTGCATTCCAGTTGAAGACATGACAAGGAACAAGAGATGATTCCAAGAAAAGTCTAGGGCAGCAGAAATGTTACCCCAACGTCTAGTTAAATCTGGCACAGTTCCATATAGTGGGTCTTGTAATTCACATACATTTTTGAAAAAGAACACAAAGGCATAGGGACACTGATAACAGCAGTGGGTGCTGCCCACTGCTGTTTTGAGGTATAAATGGCAATTCAAATGAGATGTTTTAGCCAGAAATTCAGAGAGGACAAAAAGGCATACCTCATGTAAGGATCAACACTGAGAAACACTGATTCAAGCAGCAACTCTGCAACAGAAGACAAAGAAATTCCTGGATATTATCAATGCAGTAGAGAATAGTTTCCACCAGCCAATCTTCAAACTAAATTGGTATGAACTCCAGACTGCTCAAAGTCCCCCTTATCCCTTCTTTGTTTAGGAAAAACCTACCAGAAACAACTACGACATTCTTTAGTTTTGGGTTATTGGTATGCTGTTGAAAAAGAAAATTTCCCCAATGTAGCTTTAGCAAACTATGTCATTTTCAATCTTGCAATTTTGCATCTATCTCCTTTCTCTACAGAAGAGTGAAGCAGCCAGAATTCCTAAAAAACATTCTCATTTAATTTCGATATATATAAAATGTCATCCCATGATTCAGCCAGAAGAGGGTGGCACAGGACAAACACAAACTAATTGTCTGCCTTTAAGAGAAAGCATTAGTTTCTCTTTTCTAAATAGCCTAATGGACTTCACTGTCTAATAACACTAGTTCTTGGGAAAGACTATTGTTAAACATGTTTTAAACTTCTCATTTACACAGCACTTTTAGCGGTTCATCTCCACCTGCTAAAATTTTTCTTTGCCTGTGCTGCAGGGGTCTAGCTGGAAATGTACTCAGATGTTAAGTACCTTCCCATTACTCAAGAGTGAGCAGAAAAGCCATGTAACATAACATCGCCTTTACAGGTGTCACTGTAGTGTGAACTTATGCCTCTTTTTGCTTTAGGGATTAAAATATGAAGGAAAAAAATATTCCATGTTCTTAAATAACCACACGCATGATTTTTTTAAGTGTATCCATAAATGTAAGAAGAAATCAATTTTCAAATATTTCAGCTGTAAGCATAACTGGTACTTTAAGATCCTTCTGGACAATTCCTTCTACACACCTTTTAAAGTGTGGCAAATTCTGTAACTCACAAATGGTGGAATGAGTCTCAAAGAAATACAGTACAAATGTCCATGTGAAACCAAAAATCAAAGTTCGTTCTTTTACCAACAGCTCTTGCTATTGATATGATGATAAGTTATCATATTCCTTAATCTCCTCCAAACAGAGAAACACAGGAATAAAAACTGTCTTTTTTTTTTCTATTTATATTCAATATCTCTTCTTGTTGCAACAGATCAAATAAGACAAGGAATAATGAAAAAAAAAAAATTGAATGCAGGCAGAAATCTTACCATCTTTCCTCTTGAAATAAAAGATCAACCTTCACTTACTCCAGCCCTGAGGTCTTTCAGCTGCAGGCTCATGCCCAGTGCAGTCACTCTGCTCTCCCCTAACACTATTCTCAATATTTTCTCCATCACCATCAGAAAAACTCCACTGAAAACCAACTCCTATGGGGTATCATGTTCTCCATTTTTTTCCAAAGGATTTTGAAAATTAAAGTAAATAGAAATATTTTACTAGTAAAACATGTTAGGAACTTAATACAGTTACTTCATTGGTTCTGAGTCACAATCCACATCTCTCTCTCTCTGCATTAAATTGTCTTCTTGTGTTTGTTGGTTTTGAGGCCACATCACTTCTTCACGGTGATTTTCTCCATTTGCAAACACATTCCAATGCCTTTGTCATCAGGCAGCAAGTGTGATCAGGTAGCAGAAACTGTGAAAGGTAGGCCCTAATTGCTGTGTGATGGACTTAGAATTCAATCATTGTTTCTAAGGGACTTATCAGAAGACAAGGTGTCTTTGAAACCACCAACCCCCTCAGTATGCTTCTTCAGCAATTGTCCTTCTCCCTTAAGGTGTATGGCTTGTGACAAGCCAGCAATTTTTCTAATTCCAAAGACAAACATGCAGTTTTATAGCTCCACAGCCACACATCAGCAATCATATAACCTCCAGGAAAATTAGTAATAACAAGCAGCATTCTGCTCACCTCCATCCTTTAGATTTGGCAGCTCTATCTTTTTCAGGTCGAAGTCACTGGTTTTGGGAAAACCATCAAAATGCTTCTTCAGAGCCCACGCCTTGGCAATCACCATCCTATGGACAAACACAGACAAAGCACACCTGTCAAAGCAATGCCCAACAGTGATGGGCTGCTCGTGGGGCTGGGTTTAGATTTCATTAGGCAAAACACCTATCTCAATAATGTGCTATCATACAAGAAAGCCTCTTCTCGTCTCTGTGGTAATATCACCAGATTAAGAAAATGTCAGAAAAGTCTCCATATTGCATTAGCAACCCAGATCTTCCTCTGACCTGTCAGACCTCTCTGCAAGAGAGACCTCTGGAAGCAAGTAATTCCAGCAAAATGTGCAACTCCCACTATAAAGATACTAAAGAAGGAAAATCTACTTTTCTAGGAGGAAAAAAATCCCTTCAGAAAATAAAATTAAAAACTTATGTCTATTGCCCCTGGTTACCCATTAACCTAAACTTTCACAATCTTGAACCAAAGTGCAAATGAGAAAAATAAAGGTAAGTAAGAGCTCTTTCTGTGACATTCATCATATTGAAAGAAAATCCTTCTCCAACTGCAAAATATAGACCTTGGAATTGGAAGCACATTGCTGCCAATATTTTCCATGCAAGACAGAAACAAACAAATTACTTGCAGTAATTCTATCCTCACATGTCCTCCTCCCTTCTTACACCCATGTGAATCAACAAGAACAAAGAAAGAGAAGCTTATACTTAGAGCAGGCAGGCGAAAACTGGGTCTTCTGCTGACAAGTCAATAACCTTCTGCGTCCGCTCAGTCACAGGCTGGACTCCTTCAGTCACACACACTTATATAAGATGTAAATGCTTGCTGAGGGCTGTAGGTACTGCCCTCAGTACACTTCCCTAGAAGTAAACATACCATAAGGCACACCCACTGTGATTCACCTTCTTCCCATTAAGATTTGAGCTCAACCCTTCAAACCCCCCCAGTTCAGTGCCCAGTCAGCTGCAGAGGCACGTTGTCAAGAATCCAATGCTAAATGCATAAAACCTTCTGTTCTAGAACTCACAAAATACTGCAGTCAGGAGACACGACTATCCATCACAAGAGGAGTTTCTTCAAATTACATTTGTCCCATCCAGCCCTGAAACTCTAAAGAGTTCTACGTCTGTGCAGAAATACCTAATTAAAAATTAATGTCTATTTCATTGCTCAATTCATACTTTAACACAGCAAATCCCTTTGCCACTCATGGTGTGTGCCCTGACATATTGCCTGTTCTCAGCACAAGGAGAGTTTGTATGGCTAAGCCTCTATCTACGAGCCACCTTAAGAAACAATTGCAAATTTTGGCATTTTGCCCCAACTATGTTGCAATGAGGTATGTAGCAAGGGAGAAAACTCTGTGCAGGGGACTGTCTTCAGCTTTTGTTCTTTTTGTCAAAACTCACAAGTACAATACTGTAATACGTAGTATGAGATAATTTGTGCTTATATAAGATATACATGAAATAAAGTTGTAAATAAAATTGTGCATGTAAAAAAACCCAAAAAGCCTAAGACCACGGACAGTTAGGGGCAGATTGCCACACAGAAATTGCAAAACTCCAGATGGCAGCAAAGAAAGAAAGCCTAATTAGCAATCGAAAGAACATTGCCATTGAGTGTGCAGAGATAAGCCCTTCCCAAGACTATCCCAGAACACTCAAGAGCTATGAACACTTGATAAGTATCTTCAATCAAGACTGCCAGAGTCGTCAAGAACATACATCTGAATACTGAGTTCCCCATCAACATTCATTGCTTCCCAGAAACAGCACTGTCCAGCCCTGCACAGAGAAAGGAGACTTCATGCATACGCAGAATAACGAAAAGAAGAACCTCTGCCTCGGGAGGAACAAAACCTGTATAAAGCCAGCCCTGACAGGGACAGCATTTGCGAGCGGAGGGGGTCCGATGATGTGATGGAAGTCAGACCGAAGTTCACCCAGCACCGATCCCAGGCTCAACGCTGTCCTTTTGATTGTGGCTATTGAAGACCGTATTTTCAGTCGTGAAAATAAAATCTTTCGTTATTATTATTAATTTAGCTTTATCGATTTTTACCTATAACAATATGAATAGTGAAAAGTCTAAAGAAACCAATATATAGCAACCTGTTCAACTACAAAACCCATGAAGACAGAAGTGCTAACTAGTACCAAGGATCTGAGGAAAAAAAAAGCAAAACGTGTTTAAAGATGCACATGCAAGGATCAGGGAGAACAGGGCAAGCTCTCCACTATTTAGATAAAAGAGTCTGTCATGAAATCCAGAAACTAACCAGCAGTCGACAACTTTTTGTGATGAAACAGAGATATTCTGTGTTCCATAATGACAAAGAAACAAAACGCCAGTGAATGTTTCCTGCACCAGAAGTGTGTGCTGGGGAAATCACTTCCCACAAAATCAAGTATCATCAAAATCAAAGCATCCCACATTAGGTAAGTGGGCCAGCATTTGTATCTGCTGCTTTATGTATTTGCTTTGGTATCAACAGCATTTGGCTGTAACAAAAGATACCACGATGCTGCAGCAACAACAAAGCAAAACAAGAAAACATGTTTACAGGAGCAAAAGGTGAGTTCAGAAAAACACACAACTGATCCCACCCACTAGATTAAACTCACAGGCACTGGGACGGATTTGTCTCACCTGGGTGCCCTGTATTCAGATTCAGAAGTGCTCCAATCAGAAATGACCAGGGACAAAGGAATGGCTAGCCTGGCAGCCATTCACTGATGTGCCATTTATACCCCCCGGGAAGCCAACAGTGATTCAGCAATGCTTTGTTTTCCATCCTGTCCCATGTTTGTGAATCATCAATACTGAATCCTTGCTTTGTGTCTCTTTTGTCTGTATGCCTCCAAGGCACCAGCCCTGTTTTTTACTTTTCCACTATCCTATCTTAGTAGCTTGAGTCTTCACGTCTGAGTACAGGACAATCTGCAAAACTATGGGCCATCAGTACAGGCCAGTTCTGTCTCTTTTCTGTTGTTTCTTTGGGTGCTTCCACTCTCAGATCTCCTATTCACACAAATCCTCACCTTCCTATCAAACATCTCTACTTTTTGGAATAACTGGGGTTTTTTCTGCAGAGCAATGATCCTGCTTAGGAACAATATTGAAACACTAATTTCACTAAACCCTATTTTTTTTTTATATTTAGGCCTAATTTTGAAAACAGGACAAATTTTCTGCCTACTATTTCTCTTTTTTTTCCTACTGAAATGACATCATTATAGACACTTCAAGGCTAGGAGACTTTCCTGTAGGTCATTAAAAAAAAAAACACCCAACAAACCAAACAGAATACAATACAGACACATGCTTGATTAATGGATTCACAAGCTAATTTCCAGGTTAACAAACCAAGACAGATATAAAATCATAAGAAGTGGTAAGGACTACATTGCTCAAGCAAGCATATAAAATAACTCCAAAGGACAAACAGAATGATACAACACTTGTGGGTTCCAGCTAAATTTTACTGGACTAAGTATGTCATAGTCACAATATCAGTTCCAAGAACAGTAACCTGCTCTTGTAAACTGTAACACTACCTTGTTTTTGTTAGGAAAATTAATCCACAAACACCAGAGGTTTATGTCTGTAATATGTGATGTAAAGTAATGCATGCTTGTGTGGAAAATGTATAAAATAAAAATTGTAAAATAAATTATACATGTAACAAAAATCCAATAAGCCTCAGACCACGGACAGCCCAGAGACAGATTACCACAAAGAAGCAGCAAAACTCCTGGTGGCAGCAGGAAAGAATGCCTCCTCTGCAAGCAGAAGGACATGGCTGGTGTGGAGATGGGCTTCTCCTGGAGCCACCCGCGAACACCCAAGGATGATCAGTACTTGGTAAGTATCATCAATCAAGATAACCAAAGTCATCAAGAACATACATCTAAATACCCGACTTCTTCTGCCATGATCAGGACCGGCCACCTCCCAAGAAACACCGATGTCCCAGCCTGCACAGTGAAAAGAAACTTCACACATATGCAGGGTGACAAAAGAAATTGGGGCACCTCTGCCTCAGGCAGAAAAAACTGTATAAAACAGCCCCAGTTGAGACAGCATTCTTTAACAGAGGGATATCTGACGCAACAGAGGTCGGATCCAGGTTGACCCAGTGCTGATCCGGGGCTCGACACTGTCTCTTTGGCTGTGGCTATCGAGGACCGCATTTTTGGTAGCGAAAATAAAATCTTTCGCTATCATTATTAATTTGGCTTTCTCATTATTTATAACATGTCCAAAAAGGAGACAGAAGAGTCCTTTTTGGCTTTATTCAAATAAAGAGAGAGGCCATGGGGCATCCGCCCAGGATCTCTCTCAAATTTTTGGAGGACACAGCCTCCTTTTTATCCTAATATCCCAGCCACATTTCCCTTCTCTCTTTCCCCATTGGCTGAGGTACTTGAGAGGTACAGACTCACCGATACGCCTGATCCTTAAGATTCCCCAAAGATTTCCCTCTAATGTATAATCCTCCTTTTAATTTTTAATTCTTATGGAATTTGGGGTTTTTCTTCCCCATTGTTTCTTTCACCTCTTAATGTCTAATTTTGTTTATCAGCAAACCTAAAGTTTATTTGTAAAAGCAAGTATCTTTTTCCATTATTCAATTAGTGGAATCCTTCCCATTGTTTATCTTCCAGAGCTAGTTTTATCTACCAGAAGGCCCACAGCTTGTTTGTAAAGACAAATCCACTATTGCTCTCATTTTCAATGTCAGTAGGTTTGAATAATACATTTCTTTTGACAGTTAATTATATCTTAGTTAACCAGGAGTTTTGTGATTTTTAAAAAAATTTGTAATGAATTACATTTAATTAGTTAAAGTTTGACTGTGATTTTAGCTGGTTTTGATTTAGATCTGTGTTGGGTGAGTATCAATAGAAAACCCTGAGAAATTACCTCACTGTAACTGCAGCAAGGAACCCATACGATTTGGAGAACCTAATCAATAGTTTAAGAAAAGAATTCAATAAAGACTTATTCAATGGCTATCAAATAACTAGAGATTAATTAGAAGTCATAG